CCCCCCCCCCCCGCTCCATCCCCGCGGGCTCCGGCAGCGCTGAGGGCGCCGGCTCTGAGGGAAGGGAGGGAGCTCTGAAGGTTTTGGGGGCCCAAGGGCTGGCGGGAGGAGGGGCTCGGGTGCTGAGGGGGGTTCGGGTGAATGAGGGTCGCTGGGGTGTGGGGGGCGAGGCGGGGGCTGAGGGGAGGGTGTGCGGTGGTTCCTGCCCTCGGGGGAGGGAGGAGAGGCGGGAAAGCGCCGCGAGGGGAAAAGGGGGGAATGGTGAGGCCGGGACAGGTAAGGCGGGCAGCACCCCCAGGACCGCCCTCCCGAGCCCCTCGGCGAACCCTCAAGGCCCTCAGGGAACACCCTCCCGTTCCCTCATGGTCCTCACAGACCCTCCCAGCTCCCTAAAATCCACACCCTCCTCCTCAGAGCCTCCCCTTGTGCCCCCACCCAGACCCTCCTGGCGCTCCAAAATCCCCCTGTCAGAGCTCCTACCCCGCCCAAGCCCCCCATGGATCCTTGCAAACCCTTTAGGGACCCCCATTCCATAACGGGTCCTCTCAGTCCCGTCCCCCCCCTCCAAACCCCCCCTCAGAGCCCCTCCCCCCCCCCCGCCCCCCCCCACAGCTCCTCATGGACCTCCAAGCCCCTCAGGACCCCTGCGTTCCCTCATCAGGGTCCTCACAGACCCTCCCAGCCACCCAAAATCCCCTCCCTTAGAGATGCACCCCCCTCCCAGTCCCCAGACCCTTCGTGGGCCCTCTCAGGGTCCTCACAAACTCTCCAAACCCCCCAGACCCCCCCCCCAGCGCCGCCCCCCCCCCTCCCCCCCCCCTCCCATGGCCCCCCAAACCCCTCAGGACCCCCCCAGTCCAATGAAGCCCCTCAGAGCCCTCCCAGTCTCTCCCCTCTCTGGTCAGAAACCAGCCTCAGGTCCCACTCAAGACCCCCATTCCCCTCAGCCCCCTCCATAATCCCCTGAGGATCCCCCAGATCCCCTTCATAGCACCCTCTGGCATCCCTAATTCCCTCAGTGCCCCCCCAAAATCCCCCTCAGAGCCCACTCCAAACTTCCCAATCCACTCCTGACCCCTCCAAGGCCCCCTGATCCCTTCAAGATCTCCCTAAATGCCCCTCTGGGGTCATTCAGAGCCCCCCAGTCCCCTCAGGAGCCCTGCAAGTCCCCTTCAGAGCCAGCTTATCCAGAGAGATGCTGTGTTATTGTTATCCAAAACACCCTAAACATTCATTAAAATAAATTAAAATTAAGCACAGACGAATTCAAAATGCTCTCAGTGTTTTGGGTCTAGCAAGGCAAACTGCACTGTTATTTAAGAAAAGATGTTCTTTACAGGTCTAAGTCCTTAAAAACAGCCAACATCTAAGTACAGTTTCTGGTTAAGGTTATTTGGCGAGTCATATTTAGTGTAATCTTTATGTTTTCTGCCTTCTTTCAAGATGAAATCTGCAATGAGTAAACGAAAGCTGAAGGACACCTGTGGAGCAAGTGCTGAGTGCATTTCACAGGTCAGGAGCAGCTTTATTCATGACTTTGGGTTTGAGTTAGGGAATTTTCCATCCTCTGCTACCCACACAATTCCATGTTGGGTTTTTTTTTTTACTGGACCAGTTAAAAAGACTTGTACAGGTACAGGATGTAATTTCTGGGGCTGTAAATGGGGTTTGTGTTTCTTTCAGCTTCTCACCTGATTGCTTCCTTCAAATGTTACAGTAATAATCTGCTTCTTGGATCCTTAATAAAAAAAGTTAAGGGATGCCCTTGTGCTTTTGCAGCTGTTTGTGGCAAGAGATTTGCATAAATCTATTTTTATCTAATTAGGTTCTTTATTTTCTAGTTTGTAGGGCAAATCAGAACCCAGGTGACTTTTTTTTTTTAGCAGCTGCCAAATGAGTTTTCAGTTTGTTTGTTTGTTTAGCCTTTTATTCTTCTGTTTTCTGAAAGTGGCTGCTTAAACCTGTGCTGCATCTTTCTCAGTGATCTGTGACATTTCCATCTCCTCCTTTCATTTACCTGTAAAATCTATTTATGGCAGGAAAGCCTTTTCACTTATGAAGGGGCAATGCTGTTCAGGTTATTGATTTAAACACAGCAGATCTGGAAATTAAATCAGTGAGACTTCAGCAGGACAAAAAAAAATAACTGTAAAATCAGGCAGCTCCAGGGTGGGTCCCTCCCATTTTAGAGGAACATCACCTCACTAACACTCTGCAATTTGATCTGGAATTCATTGGCACTGAGCACTTAGATTGGACACCAGATGTTGTAAAAGGGTGGAGTACAGAGGTGGTTTTGGGTTGCTTAAGTAAAGTAGTAGAGTCCTTTAAATTCTTAAAAATTGGGATTGCTGCTAATGAAGGGGCAGGGTGAAATCTGCTGTGGTGCTCTTTGGGAATTGAAGATACAACTGTAACTAGCAAATGAGCTGATGTAATTCTGGTGACACACTGATACAATTTCCCTGAGTTTTCTCTTTTGTATAATATTTATACAGTATTCTGCCCACTGCAACTTTATTTTTACTTTCAAGACCTCCCTGTCAGCAAATATTTCCATGTTACAGGATACTTGTAACACCACAAACCTGCACATTTCAGGATTATTCTGTTGCTGTATTTACACTATTGGAACGTTCTGGTGTTTGCAGCACCAAAAATTCTTCTTGGGTAAAAGCAGATAAATTCTTATCTTTGTAGGTGCAAAAAATTCTACGTGAAAGGTTCTGTCACCGCCCCAGTGCCACTGGGAAACTGTTTGGGATTGAATTCCAGTGCAGGTGAGTCAGCAGCCTCAACTACTGAGTCATTTCTGATTGAACTACAGGAGGAAAAAAAACCCAAACCAGGTGAAGTCAGAATCTTCTGCTGCATCTGCTTTTCAGAATTATACTGGCTTAAATGACCTGCAGCACAGTGCTTCTAAAAATTCTTTGCCTCAGATTTTAAGAGGTTTTGTCCAGTTGGTCCTTGCTGGTTTTGTCAGGCTCTGAGTTTTGGATTTCTTGTCCTTGTCTCACACCTGTAATTCCTGGAACAACTTTATTTTTTTTCTTTTTTTTTTTTTGAGCCTGAAAAATACTTTTAGTGCACATTCTGAAGCTTTGTTTAATGGCCTGGCCAAGCAAAAAGTTAAATTCTCTTGCTGTGAATCTTTATTTTCACTTCACTTTTCCCCCTGTTTGTTGGTAAGCTGTGTAGAAACTAAATTTAAACTTTGGATGGTTTATAGAATTTAAATTTAAACTTCTTGGGTTTTGAAGTAGAAACTCATATTTAAAACAAACCTGCTTCTTGGGGTCACCCAGATGTGGAGGTGAGAGTTAGGAAGAAGTGACTTGCTGTGACAGGAGCACTGTCCCAATCCCAAACATCTTCCAGATGGGGGTCAAAGTCTGCAAAATAGCAACTGTGTATCTAAAGAGCTTGTTTTCAACCATCAGTTTTTTCTCCAAGAGTAACTTTGTGCCAGTGGAGTCACCTGATGTGAGCACTGCTTTCTTTAACAAGAGAGAAAGTCAACACTGATTAAAAAGTGTATTTATTTCTATTTATATCCTTCCCAGCTCTTGCTTTTCCTTTCCCAAGATGGATCAGGGCTCTTGGCTGTAATTCACCCTCTGTGCTTTACTGTGTTACATTTTGCAGGGCCTGAGAGGAAGCTGAAAGTGTAGCAGGTTTTCTCTTGTTCCCTGAGTTTTCCTGAGTTTCAGTGAATGTTTTCTGCTCTGAGGTTTTCATCCTCTTGCTCTTTCCATCACAGACATTTGCTGGAGCTGCTGAAAAGAACCACCTTGCATGGAGAGAGTAATTCTGCCCTCATCGTAGGGCCCAGGGGATCAGGGAAGACCACGGTAGGAACACCCATTACAAGTTCATCAAATTAAGCAAATCCAATTAAACACGACCTGCAGGACCCCCCTGAAGTCCTGGGAGCTTTTGGAGCTGCATTTTCATCTCTGCCTCTTTTTAAAGGAGTGGTTCCCATCTAAATTCAAAACATTCCAGGACTTCTCCAGGGCTAATTCTGTGGAGCAACAATGGGGAGAAATGGGCTCCTCGCAGTTGTCTTTGCAATTAAACCCACCTTTTGATCACTCTGTAATTAACCTGCTCTTTCTGCTGGGCCCCCACTGTAAAAATGACTGAAGAGGCATCCAAAAGCTGTAAAAATCTCTATAAATAATGACCAGGTGTCTCAATCCTGTTAAAAATGGATTGACATTCCTGTCAAGGAATGTTGTTACCTAAATGGCCAGGAGGTAGCATGTTGGTGGTTGTGGTAAGTTGTAGGTTTGTATTTTAAAGGAACCCCCTTTTATTTGAAGCATGTGAAGGGATGACATGGAACTGAAGTGTTTTATCCTTCAGTGTTATCACTCAAGTCTTTTATGTTTGCATCAATATATAATGTGCTAAATAGATTGGCTGTTAGTGCAGGAGGTATTCAAGATGGAACAATTAGAAAAATTCCACTGGAAGTCTTCCCAAGTGGCCTTCAGGCTTTTAAAGAAGTTGAATAGAAACAAGTTCAAAGATGTTAAACATATCCAGGCTGACACCAGTCACCCTGTCACTCTGTTGGCCACTTGTTTTGCATTTCCAAACCAGTGTTGTCACCTTTTCCTGTTGCCCAAGATGCTCCAGAGGAAGGATAACCCCCCAAAATACCATGGAGTGGTGGTGGGGAAGGAATTAATAAACCAGTGGCAATTAATCTTCTCATAATGAACTTCTGTATTTTTTTTTCTTCCCAGTTATTAAATCACCTCTTAAAACACCTCAGGGGAATGAAACAAGTCAGAGGGGACCTCTTGGAAGTTCACCTGAATGGCAAGTAACTCAGCATGGATCCAATGTTATGTTATATCCAGTTCTAATCCTGCATATCCTCAATATTTCTGCAGTTTGGTTTCAGCAATTTGCTGTGGCCTCAGCTCTTAAATGACCTGCAGCACAGTGCTTCTAAAAATTCTTTGCCTCAGATTTTAAGAGGTTTTGTCCAGTTGGTCCTTGCTGGTTTTGTCAGGCTCTGAGTTTTGGATTTCTTGTCCTTGTCTCACACCTGTAATTCCTGGACCAACTTTATTTTTTTTCTTTAGCCTGAAAGATACTTTTAGTGCCCGTTCTGAGGCTTTGTTTACTGGCCTGGCCAAGCAAAAAGTTAAATTCTCTTGCTGTGAATCTTTATTTTCACTTCACATTTCCCCCTGTTTGTTGGTAAGCTGTGTAGAAACTAAATTTAAACTTTGGATGGATTATAGAATTTAAACTTCTTGGGTTTTGAAGTAGAAACCCACATTTAAAACAAAATATGTGAGCTCCAAAATGCCTCTCTTTGTGTTCCTCTGTTCAGAGGCAACTTCTGTGCTTTGAGTGACCAAATTAAGTAACTTTTTAGATATGGAAAACTCCTGTCTAGCCTGATTTTTTTTTTTTTTAAAAAAAAGGCTGGAAAAAGAGGGAGAGAGAGAAGCTCCTGGATGAGTTTCTAGTGGGAGAGAAGGAGATCTGCCAGTTCTTCACCAACATCACTTTATTTCAGGGCTCCTGCAGACGAGTGACAAAGTGGCCCTGAAGGAGATCACCAGGCAGCTGCAGCTGGAAAACGTGGTGGGGGATAAAGTCTTTGTGAGTATCTTCACTCAATTCCCTCAGAAAACCCTTGTCTGGAAAACTGGCTTTGTGGAATGCTTGTTCCTTGGAGGAGGAGGAGGAAAGGACAGTCTCTCTCAGCAAGCCCCTAAATGGACCAAAGTGAAGCACTCCCAGGAGACTTTATTCAGAGGGGGTGGGGTATTTTGTAAGCATTGCTTTTAACATTTCAAGAGTTAGCAAGTTAACCAACCAAAAAAAGCAGGTTCTTTAGGTGCACTGGTATTTTTAGTGCATAAATATATATGCAATCTTTTTCTATTTCATAGGGAAATCTGCCCAGGCTTCCTTGAGCTCTCGTTTTCAATGGAATTTCCATTAAAATATTTCCTTCTATTGCCCTTCTCCCAAAGATAAACTCATTTACATAGGTGCTGAATTCAGTCATGAAGATGAAATCTCATTTATTTGAGTGTGAAATAACTGGGGCCACACTGATCAGAGCTACCAGAGCTTGCTGCCCCTTACTCAGGGAGTGTTCTGGACTTGCAGGAACCTCCTTCTCTCCATAGAAACATTCCCTTTTCTTCTGGAACTCGCATTCAGGGAGTAAATTGGCTTCTCTGCCCCCCTTGGCAGGGCTTGTGGTGTTGGGTTGTAGTTATTTCCCATCTCACAACTGGTGTGTGAGGTGAGAAATGCAGTGTATGTGTGTAAATCTGTGTCTGACTGGAGCAGGATGGTCACAGTTATTCCTTGTTTTGTCCTTTCATCTCTTTAATGAAGCTGCAAATTAAACCAAAACCTGCTCACCCTCAGTGGAACACAATAGGTGGCACTTTTTCCACGTGTGTGGCTGGAAAATGAGGATGCCACAGCTATTTAAGGGAAGATGAAGCTACTTGTAAATTTAGCCTGTTGCAGGCATCCTTCTGATCACTGATTTTTGCCTGTCTGAGGCACTTTGGGGATTTCAGGCTGAAAAAAAAAAAAAAAGGTGGATGGATGTGGAATTAACCCTTATTTTTCTTGCTCTGAAGGGGTTTTGATGATACAACCTGAAGTGACAGAAGGTTTTGGAAGGGGGTGGCCTTCAGTCCCTGCCTTGAACTAATTGCAGTTAAACAATTCAGAGAATCCCATCCAAAAGAAAATCTCTTTTTCTTCTCCGTGCAGGGCAGTTTTGCTGAAAACCTTGCGTTCCTCCTGGAAGCTTTGAGGAAAGGTAAAGAAAAATAAAAATAAACCTTTGCTGTGAATTTGTTGTGTCCTCCCCTGTGGCCAGAAACTCTGCTGGGCAGAACAAAGTCAAACCCCTCCCAGTTCTTCGGTGTGTTCTTCTTTGTGCCCCGTGCAAGGAGGGCTTAGTTAAGAGTTAAAGGTGTAAATATGTCAATTATTCAAGCTGTAATTAGTGAAAGCTGTAGAGGGGGAGCTCTGCTGGTGGAGTTACCTGCTGGCTTTCCAACTGCTCTGCAGGAGACCGAACCAGCAGCTGCCCAGTGCTGTTTGTCCTGGATGAGTTCGACCTGTTTGTCCATCACAAGAACCAGACCCTGCTCTACAACCTCTTTGACATCTCCCAGTCAGCACAGACTCCAGTGACCATCATTGGGCTCACCTGCAGGCAGGTAAGAGACTGCACCTCCTCTTTCCTTTCTAAAGTGCCTTCTGCCTTACCTGGAGTGTTTTCTCCTCTCCTGGAATGGTGTTTCATTCCCTAAGTGACTTTTCTAAATTAAGACTTTTCTCATTTTCTCACTTTGGAGTTGGGAAGGATATGACAATAATAATAATTTGTGCTGAGAGCAAACATCAAATGACCAAAAAAAAAAACCCCAAACCTGCAGAGCCTTCAGTTTTACTGCAAGAGGAGCAGGTTTCCATTTCTAAGGAGACTTGTCTCCTATTACACTGTTTTATATTATATTATATTTTACTCTTTGGAGGAGCTCCTGGGCATTTCAGCTCCTTGGTCAGCAAGAACAGACTCGTTCTTGCCCTTTTTAAGCCTTACAGTGCTTAAAAAAGATTCCTTGTCCTCAGGCCAATGATTTCAGCACTTCAATGGGGCACTTTTCCTGAAATATTGGCACGTTCAAAATGGGTTCAGGATCCACGTTTAATGTCCTGTGATATTTGGATTATGTGATTAAGCATCTAATCAATTTGCAGCACTGTGGAAACTTCATAAAGATTAAACTGTTTTCTGCATTAACTGGGTTGCTGGTGAGGGAGAAAAATAATTAAGATATTTCATCAATGCTGAATTTGGGGGTTCTCTGTGTTCAGGTGATACTTTTGGAGTGTAATTAAGGAATTCTTCAGAGCTGCCCCACAGTTATGGTGAGAGTTGTTTCTGAGGGTTTTTTTTTTTGCTCTTAAGTGTTTTTTTTGTGTTTATTTATTTTTTTTTTTAAGCTGTATTCTCTCAGCCTGACAACAGGCACGTGGTGTGACCACACAGACAACTTGCCTGGAGTTTGGGATGAAATGTCTTGATTCCAGGCTTAAGGAGCTGAGACATTTCCACAATCTCTGGAGCAACGTTGCAGGGTTTCCTAGCAACTGCTGATCCTGTGTGATGTGGGGCATCACGTGGGCTGGGGAAAGGGCTGTCAGGCATTTCCAGGCACATCAGTTCAAACAGTCAGCAAAGCTCTTCTTGGAACATCTGAAGCCTGAGAATTTAATAATTTTATTTTTTTTCCCCAGCACCTTTTACTCGGGTATTTTGTCTGTACTGTAGCAAAGAATGCACTGAATTAATATCCTTTTTTAATTAGTGGTTTTCCTTTTTTGTTTAAATCAAGGATATCCTGGAGCTCCTGGAGAAGAGAGTAAAATCAAGGTTCTCTCACAGACAGATATATTTGATGAATTCCTTTGATTTTAAACAGTACATTAAGATATTTAAGGAGCAGCTTTCCCTTCCTGCTGAATTTCCTGACGAGCCTTTTGCACAGAAATGGAATGACAATATTCAGGTATTTAAAGCTTTCTGTACTTGGCTCCAGTAAAAATTCTACACAGTTTATAAGTGTAAAGCTTTTACCTAAGATTGGTATTTCCTTTCACCGTTTGAGTTTATGGAATAAATTAAATTATGATAGAGAATCACTGCTTACTGGAGTTTGGAGGTAAAACAGTCACAGAAAGTTGGGGTTAGACCTGAAGAACTGTATTGTCACCCATAAGCTGAGCTCTTTCAAAGAATCATGAGCTAACTCTCATTTTTCCAGGTGAGTATAAAATGGAGATGATTTAAATATCACTTTGTTTTTACTCTCTAGCATCTCTCAGAGGATAAAATTGTGCAGGACGTGCTGCAGAACCTCTTCCACCACACCAAGGACCTGCGCTCGCTCTATTTCCTCTTGGTATGTGTTTGGAGAGATATATATTTATTTATTTATATATAAAACACCTTCTTTCTTTACAGCAATCAATAAACAGCTCTGGTGGTTTTCCCAGCAGGGTTTTGGCTTCTTGCAGCTTCATCAGTGCATTCTGTGTCAGTGGATGTGGGTAATTCCACCTCCTGTATTCCAGGTGCCTTTGTGAGGGTGTCCTGTTTAATTCAGGCCTTTGGGTGTTTGACTCTTTCCAAGGCTTTCCATTCATAAAGCAAAAACGTAGGTGAAATACTTTCAAACTGTTTTTTCCTTTCTGATATTCCTTTTGGTTTCTGCTGAATCCTAAAAGCTGCTCATGTGGAAACCTGCTTTTTCTGCCATTAAGTCAGCTGTTGCATCCAAATATTCCTCCTCTTTCACTAAATCTGTTCCTGCACTAAACCTTCTTTTTCTTCCTGCTAAACCTGCAGCCTTGTTCTTCCCATGGAGGAGATGCTTTTGCTTCCTTTTATCACTTCCAGGATCAGATAAAATCCCTTCATGATGAGGCACCACGTTGTTTCCCAGAGCTGGTTTCCTGTATGGAGCAATCCAGGGAGCCCACCTGCAATCCCTGATTCAAAAAATGGGATATTAATCTCAAATCTTGAGGTGCTGGAGGCAACTAATCCATAGAAATGCTGAGCTGGAAGTTAACTCTGATCTCCCAAATGTTGTCCAACATCAGGGGCCTGAGGAAGCTTCCAGAAGTTTTATTGGTAGTTTGGAATGTTCCCAGTTATCTTAGTGGGGAGAGAAGGAAAGGCTCCTCACTGGGTGGGGGGAAAAATGGCCCTGGGAAGACTTCCATGTTCAGTAAGTAGGAGGGAATGCTGGCAGGGAACTTCCCCCATCACCACAATTCCAGATTGTTTCTAATCCAGGGGAACCCCAGTCTGTCCCTGTGGCCTGAGTGGAGGCTGAGAGTCAACTTCCCAATTTTTTTCTGCAGCATGGTCTGAACTTTCCCTTTGGAAAGGGGTTTTTTCCACTCTGAAATCATTTTTCCAGTAAAAGCATAAAATACAGATAGGAGCAGGGATGAATGAGGAGTTCCTGGACAAACTCTGGAGAAGAGAAGGCTCTGGGCAGACCTGAGAGCCCCTTCCAGGGCCTACAGGGGCTCCAGGAGAGCTGGAGAGGGACTGGGGACAAGGGATGGAGGGACAGGACACAGGGAATGGCTTTAAACTGAAAGAGAGCAGTTTGAGATGGGATTTGGGGAACAAACTGAGGGTGGGGAGGCCCTGGCACAGGTTGGGCAGAGAAGCTGTGGCTGCCCCTGGATCCCTGGGAGTGTCCAAGGCCAGGTTGGAGCAACCTGGGCTGGTGGGAGGTGTCCCTGTGAACAAAAGCAGGTGTAAAACAGTTGTCAGTCCTTCTCGCAGCAGTTGCTGAAGTCCATCCATGGCAATGGATCCAAACAGGTTCCTCAGGGTTTATCTCCTCCAGTGGGGGGAGGCTTTGAAGTTTTAAGCTTGGAAAACCTTCCTGGCAAAGGGTTGGGGGGTCGTAACTCCAGCTATTAGTGAGGTTTTCAATACCTTAAGGAATTCTATTCCTTAATGTTTCCAGTAGGTGACCGTGGGACAAAGGCGTTGCTGCGCATCCCGTCTCCGGGCAGGAACTGTCTGTTCCTCGGGAATGGGGTGAGCAGCGTGTCCTGCTTGTTTGCAGATGCTGGCTGTCAGTGCAGTGACCGTGCACCACCCCCTGCTCACGGCTGCAGACCTGCAGGAGGCCAGCAGGCAGCACAGCACCGACTCCAAGGCCAACATCGTGCATGGTAAAGCTCAGCCTCTTCCCAAAAAAACGCCTCTCAGGAGACAGGGAAGTGTCAGGTCTGCCCCCTGAAATCCCCCCCGATGCAAGAGACAGGGATAACCTGAGCTCATACATCTAGGGATAGAACTGCCAAATTATATACTTAATTTTCTTGCTTTTTCGTGGAAACTACCCATTTCTTAACGTTCTTGCTTCAGACACGTGGAAAACAAATGTTCTCTCCAATTCTGGATTATTTTTTTTTTACATAATGAAGGTAAATAACACAAATGGGTGAGGCCTGGAGCATAAAAAACCCAGAGGAACAGATGCAGTGAGTGAACAGCTTGTGCTTCTGATGTGCTTAAGGGGAATCCTGAGGGCTCTTGTCTTTCCCTGCAGGTTTGTCCGTGCTGGAAATCTGCCTCATCATAGCCATGAAACACCTGAATGATGTGTACGATGGAGAACCCTTTAACTTCCAGATGGTTTACAATGGTGAGAGCAATCCTGAGCTCCACAGACACCAAATCACTCCCTGTCCCCTCACTAATCCTTCTTTTCAAATCTGTTACTGGCACAGAGTTCCAGAAGTTCATCCAGAGGAAAGCACACTCCATGTACAACTTCGAAAAGCCAGTTGTCATGAAGGTGAGCCTGAAATGATATTTTTTCTTTAATTGTGAAGCATTTAGAAATTCAGAAAGTGGTTTTATTTTCTAGAGCACAGATGCAACCCCGGAAGGGAATTGGGGTGTTTTGGGGCTGTGGAAGGATGCTCTGCTCCCAGCAGGGAGTTTGGGAATGTCTGGCTCCTGGCAGGAATGACTTCACCTTCCCTTCCTCTAGGCCTTTGAACACTTGCTGCAGCTGGAGTTGGTGAAGCCCCTGGAAAGGCCGTCGGCGCGAGCGCAGCGGGAATATCTCCTGATGAGGCTGCTGCTGGACAACACCCAGATCATGGATGCCCTGCAGGTGTATCCCAACTGCCCCACGGACGTGAAGCAGTGGGCAGCCTCCTCCCTCAGCTGGCTCTGAGCTCCTGGCACAGCACAGCTCCAGCAGGGAAGTGCCAGTGCCAGTGCCAGGAACGTTACCCACAGGAGTGTGTTCGGATTAATGAATCCTTGGAAGAAGCCTCCTGTGCTGATCCATCTGGGATGGATTTGAAGGAGAACTACGCCGATGTTGTCTCCCAGTGGCCAAAACTGTGACTGACTCCAAGGCTCAGGTGGTTTAGCTCGGCCCGGTGCCAACTTCTGCTCATTGCACACAGTCTCCACTTGGAGAAATCCAACTCCTTGGAGTTTCTCCCTCTGGATCCTGGCTCAGGACACGGTGCCCTCCCCGTTCCGGTGTGGCCCTGGCAGTCCTGCAGCACAGCCACACCCACCCACCTGTACTTCCCCTCCTCAAATCTCACTTGACCTGGAAAATTTACTCAATTAAATCTGTAATCACAGCAAAATTTACCTAATTAAACCTCTTAATCCCAACAAGCTTCAGCTGCAACTGGTGGTTTGTGCCACCTTCTGCTGTTTCCAACTGAAGTGTGATGTGTGACCGGTGCATCCCGGCACAAGGACGGTTTGGGAATGCCGATGGAGCACTGCCCTGGACTCTGCTGTCAGCTCTGGGGTGAGGAGCCCTTTTTGCAGTCAAAGGGGTTTTGATTTTCCTCTTTGCTTCACACAGGTCCTGTCTGCACATCCCGAGGGGCAGAGCAGGGAAAGAATCCTGGGATTCCCTGGGCTGGAAGGGACCCAGATCTCCATGATCCAGGTCCTGTAAGCGATGCCACCGCTGCACACTTTATATGAGATCTTCCTGCAGCAGCTCTTCTCCAGGAAGGAAAGTGTGGATTCAGCCAGCCCCAATCTCCCTGTTTGAGTGGAGCTCATGGAATTCCAGCTGGCCCTGTAAAATGGGAGGGGTTTATCCACTGCTTCCTGGGGAGCTGGGGGACAGGCAGCTCTCAGGGAAGTGGCTGCTTTGCCCATCCCTGGAGAAGGAAGAGGCAGCCAAGCCCTGACCTCGGGCTGCAGCAGTGGGAATATCAGTGGCAGTGTGTGGAATTCCCAACACATTCTCCTGGCACTGCCCTGGGAACAGTGTCTCACCCTCCTCAATGCACTGCAAATAGGGATAAAAACCAAGGGATAAAATATAGGGAATGCTGGAGTGTGCTGACACCAGAAGAGGTGAGTTTTCCCTCAGAAGTGCTGGAGTTGAGGCAGATTCTCCCTTTGCTTCTCACCGTATTTGACCTGTAAGACCTTCCCCTTCTCTTTTTTTTTTTTTGGCCACAAAACTCCCGTTTTGGCTCGAGAACAGCCCCACCTGCTGAAAACCAGTTCAAAAGGAGGCATTTGCAAGTCAGAGTAGTCACATTTTTTATTTTCCCGTCGGGGGAATAGGGCAGAGTATACATTTGTATTTGTACAATATTTAACAATCACTTTATTGAGGGTTGGGGAGAGGGGTTGGTTGGTTTTTTTTTTTAGCACTTGCAGAAACCCAGCAAGTACCTTTTGACAGTAGTACAACAACCTGTGCCCAAAAACACTGACAAATACAGAGAGGAAAGGTAAAGAAATCGCTCCCCAAACTCGAGGGGGAACGAAGAGGAGATGGACTGAAACAAAATGAAAGGAGGAGGGAGAACAAAAGCAGTTCCTGCTGGTTGAGTATCTGAGGTAACAGATGTTCCATCAAGGATGCTACTGGAGTCCTGTTGCCCATGGATGTGTATTGCAGCTTCCTGTGTTTTGTACCACAAATGTCTTACAAGAGGTTCGAAAAGCCGGAGGAGGAGCAGAGGGGGGGCCCTACCGGTGGTGTCAGTGCTGAGGTGAGCAGGACACGGCTTGTCACACCCAGAGCTGGCCTTGGAGCACTGCACCCGCCTGCCTTGGGTGTTTCCACGTTTCTGGTGTGGTTTGGGAATAGCCCAGGAATGCCAGCGCTGGTTGAACACCCCCCGTGGGCCTGGGCTGAGCGTGAGCGGAGTCGCGCACGACGGGGACAGGAACTTCTCAGCCTCTCACCCAGAAACAACACCTGGGGCTCAGGGACCACTCCAGGGCCATCCCTGGGCTTGGAGCCAGGGGACAGGCAGGGACAATGCCACACTATTCCCTAGCACCAGGCTCCCTGGATCCTGCCCTGGCAGCTCAACTCAGTCACTGCTCCAGAAGCGAAAGCAGAATTCATGTCCAAACCCCTGTGGGAGCAGCTGGACAGGACAGCCCAGGGGAGACCAGTCTGACCAGTTCAAAAGCATTTCCAAGGAGCAGCCTGTTCTCAGGGACGCTACATCACGCTGTTAAATCCCAGGAAATGGGAGCAGGACAAGAACTGAGCTGGGATAGCCAAAGGCAGAGGTACAAGTGCTGTGAGAACCCGAGTTGGAGGGAAACACAAATGATGGACATTCTACACGTGATCAGGGTTTGCATCAGATCTCAGAGAGCACAGAATTAAACTCTGTTCACTCCAGTTTTGCTCCTTGGGAGCCCAGAGGTCTCAGGGAGTACAAGTGGGTTGGGATTTGTTCAGAACTTTGTTCCTGTCCCGTGTGTGTGGGAGGTTAAGTTAAAACTGGATTAAAAAGGGAAGTGACACAAATGTCACAAAGTGGAATTCTCCCCCTTCCCAAAGTCCCCTTGGAGCGGGTCCCTCAGGCACAGACGTGACCGACACAGCCCTGGGTGGAACATCAGCCCTTCCCTCCCTCCCTGTATCCATCACATCCCACTGTTCCCAGGGCTGAAGTCCCCTCTCAGGGCTGCACAGATCCACGCTCCAGCCACCCTTCCGTGAGCTCCCACCTGCACTGTTAAAGCTGTTTTCCAAAGACACGGACTGGACAGACAGGGAGAACACGGACACTCAGCACACCAGGGGCCGCTGCCGGCTCTGCGCTCCAATTCCAACATTTATTGTACCTGGAATTTTGGGTAAAGGATCCAATAAACGTGGTGAGCCAGCACTGGGAGCAGCACTGCGGCACCCAGCTCCCAGTCACCCTAATTCCAACGCAAGGTGTGACATCCTGAACTCCGGCGGTGGGGCTGGGAAAGCCACTTCCATGTTTTTCCTCATTTTTGGCGAGTCTGTGCTGTGGATATTTGTTACCTCGGAATGGTCGTTGCATATCGTGAGCACAACTAATTATCCCTGAAATTTCGCATCTGGAAGCCGGAGCCAGAACTCTCTGTGTGACTCCAGGATAAACCTGTGGATCACAGGGAGCGTGAGCTGCGCTCCTGTGGGATGGCACAAGCTTTGAGTGGAGGGAATTGCAAATATTCCAAGCAGAGAGCGAGGAACTGGGGGGGGGGGAACTGAGCTTCCTGAGGTGATCCTGGAACAGGGACACAGCCCCCACTGTTTGCTGGGACAGGGAACACGCGGCGACCTCGGCGCGAACATAAATAGGAAAAAAAGAGACTTTTTTAAAAAAAAAAAAAAAAAGAACAAGAATTCAGAGCTTTCCAGTGTCACAGCTCACAGAAAATTAAAAAAAAAAAATAGAAGTCATGCTTAAGTTTTCAAATCTTCCTCAGACACAGCAAACCTAAATAGTATCAGTTAAATAAATGGATGAGATACTCTGGGAAACAGAGGGAAAAGCTTTCAACTAAAAGAGGAAGGAAAATTTTCTCTCAATAAACAGCACTTTTTTTTTTCTTTTTTATACACAACAAGCGAGTACAAGAAAAGGCTAAAAAACACGGCTCTGGGAATGGCCATTCCTGGGGGCACCTTCCCCTTCTTAAATAACACAGGGATCGGGAATAACATCATTTACAAAACACGGAGCGGTTCATTATCCCAATTAGTGTTGTCGACGATAATTTAGGAGGTGGAACTGAGGTATACCTGGTTTTGAGGGAGGTTAAAGTAATACTTGGAAGCCTCTTTGCTCTATCCCATCGATTCCTCTCGTTTCTGTACACGGAACAGCAGCACACGGAACATTCACAAGCTGTGTCGTAGTCGCGTCACAACGAGTCATTTTGATAGAAACGACGACGAATGCAATAAAAACAAAAGTTACCCTTTTTTTCTCGGTTTGTTTTTCTTCTTCTGTCGTTTTTGTTTTTGTTTTTTTTTTTTAAATCTGAAATGAAATGGTTTTTTGTTTTTTTTTCTTTTTCCTTGATTTTAAAAAAAATAACAGCAGTTCGTTTAAGGAATTAGTCTCTTCTGCCAGGGATTAAGAAATCGGGTGTCAGTGTTTAAAACGCTCGTTTAAGCCCCGACAGGTCCATATTCTTCATGTGAGTCCCTCGTCGGCACGTGAGGGGTCCGGTCACGTCCTTCAGGTGTGAGCAGGGAATGCAGGAAGTCTCATGGATCCACGCCGGGGAGGAGGAAGGGGCAAACAAAGGAGAAACACCTCTTGGTGATGTTCCAGAGAGACTTACCATCCGCTCTTCCCGCCGGCACGGCAGCGACGCCGGCAGCCCGCGCGCTGGAGCAGCTCCGCCGAAGAGTCCCGCGGTCACTTCCATGACCAGTGCAACTATCATAGACTGGATTCTTTGGGAGGAAAGTCCACGTTCGTCACCATTGTGACCACAGTCACGATGTCCTCTGTGGTTATAATGTTAGTCAGTTTTTGCATCTGGATGATCCTCTCCTCCACGCAGCCGGCGGAGAGCCGCGCCTCGGCGTCGTGATCCCAGCACTCCTCGATGGTCTCGCACAGCATCGCCATTCCCTGCGGGGCCGGGGAGAAACGGGCACACACCGAGTCAGGGAGGGGTCACCCAGCTAAAAAAAAGGCATTTAAGGTCCACCTGCCAAATGTGAACCCTGGTGTCCAACGGGACGCGGTGCCGGATTTGGGTTTGATGGGACAGGACGCGGCGTCGGACTCGGGTTTGATGGGGCCTGGGGTCTGCTTTGCTATATTATTATTTATTATATTATTATTATTATGTTATGTGTTACATTATTATGTACTATATTATTCTTTCTGATATTTAAACAACACACAGCAGTGAGCAAACCCTTCCCCTGCAGTGCTGCAGTATCATCACAGCACTCCAGAGGTGAAATTCTTCAGCCATCAAGTGTCACTTCAGCGAAAAGTAACTCAGGAATCTCTTCTTTCCCCCAAAAACCTGACAGAATCATTTTCCAACACTCAAAGAGTATTCTAAGATGAAGAACACACTAATCTGCAGCCCATTTAATTCCTTCTAGAATTATTAAATTCTCCCCAGGACACCCCACGGGCTGGGCAGGATTTGGGCAGGATTTGGGGCGGTTGGTTGGTAACACTTACAGAATGTTTCTGCCAACACTCCCTCAGGACAGGCCTCTTCTTTTTATGGACCACCACCTCCTGCATGTCCTCCAGGGAGGGGTGCTGGCCGATCTCCTCCTCAAAGGGCAGCATGTACTCGTCCACGGGGCCTGCACAGGGAAAAGGGGTTCAGAAGGATCCTGGAATGGCTCGGAAGGGACCTCAAAGCCACCTCGTCCC